CGCGCGCCTCAAAGAGCTGTCAGCAGCGTGAAGGGGCCCTTCACGCTGCTGACAGCTCTTTGAGGCGCGCGTGGAACAAAACGCGCCGTCGACACGGCTTGTCGTCGTTATACGGACGGACGGCGAGCTACCCATTGCTCGCCGTCCACAGGCCCGCGCCTACGGTGGCCGGGGGCCACGACGTAGCCCCCGACGCCCGGGGCGTCTCCCGCGGCGGCCGGGGAGGAAAGCTGCTGCTCTCTCCTTCTCCCGCTCCGCCACCTCCTTCGCTAGCATCACTGCTTCGCAGAAGGTGGTGACGGCATCCCATTCCGTCTCGTTCCGGACCTTGGCTTCGAGCAGGGCCGGACGCGAGAGGTCGCCGCCGCCTATCGCCGCTACGAGGACACGGCGGTGCTCCGCACAAGCAGGGAACACCTCTACGTTGTGTCCCACCGTGTCCTCCGGTCCATCCTCGCAGTGGGAGCACCCGGGCGTTTCCTCCCGCCCGATTCGGTGCAGGAACCTCCCGAACACACCGTGTCCGGTGAGGGCCTGCGTCAGGCGGAAGGTGAGGATGCCGTGGCATCTCTCAAGCCACTCCTCAAGGAGGGGTCTTATCGCCGCTATAGTGGCGTGCCCAGCACGGGGTTGCGACAGTCGCTCTCTCCATGTCGCCATGAGATCGTGCCGGAAGTCTGTCCGCTGCGCGACAACTTGCCGCGGCAGCGGGGTTTCCCCACGGCACAGTGCCTCCGCGCGCCATTTGTGCAGGCGCGCGAGGACTATCGCCTCCGGATCCCACGGCGGCAATCCGGCAAGGAGGCTCGCCACCTCGCGGGAGATCGTGCGGTAGCCGCGAACCATTTTCACGGCAATCACCCTTTGGGGAGCGTTCAGGTGGTGGACGGCAAGCCGCGCCAAACCACGCGCCCACACCGGGGCCCCGTAAAGGGCCATGGACCGCACGATCCCCGCGTACAGCCTCCGGCAGGAGGCGTTTGGCCCTCCCAGGTTCGGCAGGAGCCGCCTGAAGGCAGCCCCGGTCCGTTCCAGTTTGGGAGCCAAACGTCGGAAGTGCTCAACGAAGTTCCATCGGCCGTCGAGGACGAGTCCTAGGTACTTCAGCGTCGACTCGACGCCGATGGATTCCCCTCCTACCATCACTGAGGATCCCGGTGGTGGCCTGTTCCGAGGACCATGGAAGTGCATGGCCTCGTACTTGTGCAGAGCCACCTCGAGACCCAGTTGCCGAATCCTCTCACGACTATCGCAACCCCGCGTGTCATAGTTTCCGCCGCCGCCTCGTACGACCACCCTTGTGCCAGTACCAGCGTGTCGTCAGCGTAGCAAACTACGCTGACGCCGGTAGGGAGGTCGGCGCGCAGCACCCAGTCGTAACCGATGTTCCACAGAGGTGGCCCCAGAACCGAACCCTGTGGGACACCGCACGACATCTCTCGCCGGTTCCACTCACCGTTGCGACCGGGGTAGATGACGGCCCTGTCCGTCAGGTAGTCCCCCGACTATACGACGGAGATAGGTCGGCACCCGGTGATACCGGAGTGCCTCCCTAATGCAGCTCCAGGGCATGGAGTTGAAGGCGTTGGCGATGTCGAGAGACACCGCCAAGACAACCCCCCTCTGGCCACTGCATCCCCCGTCGTGAAGGCTCTCATGCGCATGATGGCGTCCACCGTGGAGCGCCTCTTGCGGAAACCAAACTGGTGTTCCGCAAGATCCGGCCCCGTCCCCGCAAGGTGCTCGGCGAGGCGGTTTGCAATGACTCTTTCAAAGAGCTTGCCCACCTCGTCGAGCAGCACCACGGGCCGGTATGCGGACGGAGAGTCCGCAGGGCGCCCCGGCTTCCGAATGAGGACCAGCTTCCCCGTCTTCCAACGAAGTGGGAATCGGCCTCTCTCCAAGCATCATCCTTGCGTATCATCCTTGGTAGGAATCGGTGTTCTTTTGCGAGGATTTGTGGTTTATCAAATCTGATGTAATGGTGGGGATGATCTGGAACATGTTTACAGACTGCAGACTTCCCGGAGCGCCGGTGCTTCAAGTCAGCTATAATTATTATTATTATTATATTATATTTATATATGTTATGTATGTATGTATATAATTTTCTCACCTGGTTGGGTTCTATAAATATATAATTATAAATTAAAATGAAAAGATAAATGTACATAAATATCAATAAAATAAAATAAATACAAAAACTACATAAATAAATAAGATCCAACCAGATGGGAGCCCTCAGCAGGGGAGACCAGACGGCCGAGGGTTAGGGGGAAAGGTAAAGAAACCGGCGGACGATGCGGGCGGTATCGAGGAGCACCGCTTTCTGTATTTGAGCCCGGAGCGGTCCGTCACGGAGTCCCAGTCGCCTCAGATGACCCGAGAGGCTGACTGGGATTAGCCCATTCGCAGAGACGACTACAGGAATAATTTCGGTCGACACACCACCTCACATGTCGGTCACCTCGTGAGCCAGGTCCAGATATTTTGTTTGTTTATCTGTTTCGGCTTTCACGAGGTTCTCGTCATACGGAATGGTAATGTCGATCAAAAATATCCTTGACTGTGCCCGGTCCATCAGCACAATATCAGGCTTATTCGCAAGAATAGTCCTGTCTGTGATGATGGCCCGGCACGCTTCCGGCAAGTACTTGTAATACGGCAATTTCCGGTCCACGAGACCGTATTTCAGAGCGAGCTCCTGGTGTAGAATTCTGGCTACTAGGTTGTGCCTGTGCAAGTACTCAGAGTTAGAAAGCTCCGAACAACCGGAGATGACATGCCTAAGTGACTCCCCGGGATGGCGACAAGCACGACAGACGTCGACAGTGCCATCCTTTAGGATGTATCTCCGATAGTTGTTGGTCTTAATAACCTGATCCTGTATTGCACAGACAAATCCCTCGGTTTCCCCCGAAGAGGTCACCGAAACGTACCCAGTTAAGGGAGGCGGCTGTATCTACGTGAGGCTCATGTAGAGCCCTATAGTACCTCCCATGGAGCTCCTTCTCCTTCCATACGGTCTCCCGGTCGGAAATGCTCTGTACTGCCGGGTCTTGCCATTGCTCGTTGGCTAAGGATAGAGGGGTAAGTCCTTTATCACTAGAAATGACGTCATTATAGAATGGATCATCCGATCTCGCCAGGAAGTAATCACGGAGGCTGCACACTTCGCGATTATGCATGGTGAGCGCGCTCAGGAAGCCACGCCCACCATGCTTTCGCGGCAAGTACAGCCTCATTACCGACGATCTCGGATGATGCATCCTATGGGACGTCATTGTAGTGCGGACTTTTCTATCCAGGGCGTTAAGTTCAGTCAGACTCCACCTGAGTATGCCAAAGGTATACATGAGGACAGGCATGACCCAACCGTTATATGCATGTGTCTTATTCACACCGGACAAAAGGCTGTTAAGCACTTTGGTCAAGCGTGCATAAAACACGTCGCAAACTGACTGTTTCATACCAGCCTCATCGATACCGATGTTCTGTGACATACCCAGGTATCGGTATGTTTCAGCCTCGGAAATGGCCCTTAAGTTGATGGGCATAGATAAGTCTATGCCCTCAGAGTTAGCAACCCTTTCCCTTTTAACATGGAGGACCACACACTTATCCGTCCCCAGCTCCATTCCAATAGAATTGCTAAATTCACAAGTGATGTTTAGCAATCCCATAAGATGGGAGCGACTGGAGGCGAATAACTTGAGGTCATCCATATAGAAAAAGGTGGGTCACTTTTGTACCTCCTTTCCGAAGCTGAAATCCCCTCCCGGAGCCCTCCAGTAAAGTACTGAGAGGGTTCAGGGAGAGGCAAAACCAGATTGGACTCAGACAGTCGCCCTGGAATATACCCCTTCTTATCCTTATGCGGCTTTCTGCAGCCGTCATCCGCTCGCCCAGATGACAGAGGATCGTACTCCACTGTCCCATACACTGCTCGAGGAAGTCTCGAACTGTACAGTCAATCTTGTACAGCTCGAGGACCCTCTTTAGCCATGTATGGGGCACCGAGTCAAATGCCTTTCTGTAATCTATCCAAGCGGCGGAGAAGTTCCGACGGTTGCGTTTCACCACTTTGCCAATGACCGCGTCAATGAGGAGTGGTTCCTTGGTTCCACGACCGCCGCCCCGACATCCATTTTGAGCGCGCAACGTCACCTGATTTGAGTCCAGGTGACGAGCGATTCTAGAGCTCAAAATGGATGTTAGTGTCTTGTATATAGTCGGTAGACACGTGATGGGGCGGTATTTGCTCGGGTCTGTGGCACCCTGATCTTTAGGAACCAAATGAGTGATCCCAGTAGTGAAGAGGCTTGGGAGCGACTTCTGGTTGAGAGCCTCTTGAAACTGTCGGGCGAGCACAGCGTGACACACCATGAACCCCTTCAGCCAGTAGTGATGCAGCCCGTCAAGCCCCGGACTTTTCCAGTTCGGGGCCTTACGGACCACCTCAGCTACGTCATCCGGCGTTATGGTGACGGCATCCATGGGCGTAATACCCGCACACTGACTCACCACAAATTCCGTCCAAGGGCCCTCGTTGTGGTTTACGGGCTCTGACCACAGGCTGCGCCAGAATGCGACCGTGTTGGCCTGATTTGGTGCTGGGCCCGTTCCACTTACTATTGGTCGCTCCAATGATTTGTAGAGCCTCTTCTGATCACTCTGAAAGAGACGATTCTGGTTGAACCGTGTCGACCTCTCGGTATATCACCGAATCCGCTTTCCCCAAGCAGCGATTCTTTGCTTCAGGTCGTCTATGCGCTCCGTCAGTTTTTGCGTTATATCCGGCTGGGACAAACTAACATTTGTCCCAGCTAACGCCATCCTAACGGTGCGCACAATCCTTGGCCTGGTATTGCCTGACCTGAAGCATATCAGTCTGCCGATGAGGGCCCTAGCCCTTGCGATACGTTCCTCAATTCTTCTTCTCCATGCTGGGATAGCGCTACTATGGCCAGTAGCGCGTCCAGCCGTGGAAACCTTGGCGCCTATGATACGGCAGACTGCCAACGCGGCGCCAAAAAGAATTGAGTCCGTCTCGCAAAGCTGGCTTCCAAATAGGTCACCAGCATTGGGTTCAGAGCCCTCACGACAGCCCGATTCCGCTTGCTTAGGGCTATGCGGGGGAAGTCGCAGTCGATTTTCGAGAGGCATACTGCGCGTTTCCACAATCGCCTCCTCCAATGTACCATTAGTTCCAGTTCCTGGGCGACTGTTCTGTCATCGTTTGAATCAACCACAACTGGCCTATTCACGGCGGCATCCACATTTGCCGTTTGCTCAGCAAGTTGTGGCGCCGCATCCTCAGCCGCAGCATTTTCACCCGATGAAGGAACAGCCTCACGTCGTAGCCGTTCGAGTTCGGTGACATCAAATGTATTTGAGCGCAAGATATACCAAACTCGGTCTGCCAGGTTTTGCTCGGTGACGGTTACAGGTGGCTTACAGCTCAGCAAAAAGTCGATGCATTCTTGCCCGATACGCAAAACCTCCAGTTTCTCCCCCTTTCGCCCTAAAATACGCCCGCAATGCGTTGCTGTGCATCTGGGTTGTCCAACGCATGCGGCGTACTCCATCAGTGGCAGGTGCCGATTGCTGGGCCCGCGAAGACCCTGCCGACACCAAACCAGCTGGTGGGGATGATGGATGCGAGGGGCTGCTGGGTGGTCGTGCAGCACCTCGCGCTCGGCTGGCGGTTCGCATGCTGTCACGTCCAGCGCCAGCTCCAGACGCGCCCTGGCGACCTCCAGGCAGCGGCCCTTTGCGCGTTCTTCCGTATTCCATCATCCATAGTGGTGGGCGTCATTTAGCGGGAGACGCCCAAACCCGGCGCCGTTTCATGGTGAGGCCATGTGCACAAGCGGGCCTTTGCACCTTCAATTTTTGCCGAGGCACGGCACTAACACCTCTCGGCAAGGTGCTGACTGACTGCGCTGACGCACCGGTTTTGTCACATAACCGTTACGTCAGCGGGCGATGGGGTCGTCACTTCCCTACGCCTGATATGTATGTATGTATGTATTATTATTATTATTTATATATGTTTTTACACGCGGGTTTTTGTAGATCTTTTTGTTTGACCCTTGTAAAACAGACCATATTCACAATCTAGCTTATACACTCCTGCATATTGTAGAGGAATATTACACTTGATGGATGGTAAAAATTGACTTATCTTCGTCGCCGGTTTGTAATATGTTTAATGGAAGATATAGCCAACATTGTCTGTGACTCCTCTGACATACGGTAGTACAGCAGGCGCACGCTCAACTATGGCCGGCTTCACTCGGTCACTGTAACTTAGGCGCGTGACCCGAAGCATGTTGTCTTGCAATACTTGCTTGACGTGCTGAAGCTCGGCGGCCAGCTTTTTTCTGTCTCAGATCTCTTGTGCTCTCGGAAATAAAGATTTGGGAGATTCACCATTTAAATATCGGTTTGTATGGGTCTTTTTCCTGTACACAGTGTGACCAATAGTGTTACGAGAATTTTTAATGAATAAAACATCTAGGAAAGCTCAAGAATTATTTGCCTCTAACTCCATTGTGAATTTTAGTTGTTATTAGAGTTGATGGAGTTAAGGTGGTCTAACAATGTAGTTACTTTGTCGGATGGTCAAATTGTGAAAGTATCGCCTACGTACCGCTTGTAGAATCTTGGATTTACAGGAGCAGTAAGAAGGGCTTTCTCCTCAAAGTCCTCTATGAATATGTTGGCGACTATAGGAGTTACAGGTGAGCCCATTGCCACATCATCTACTTGCTTGTAGAGCTCCTATTTCCAAAATAGATAGCCATATGTGAGGCAGTATTTGAGTACAACTGCATATTCTGCAGGCATGTGGTTATCTTCTAGCTTCCTGGTTATAATTGTGATGCGGTCTTCAATAGGCAGGCATGTGATTAGTGACTGAACACCGAAGTTTTCATTAATAATAACCTCCATACCGAACGTCAACCAAGTGTACGCGCAAGCACAGCTACACTCTCTTTGCTGGGGACTGTAATCCGCACGACTGGATAAAGATTCAGGCGCAGGACCAAAGGCTTTACGTGCTTTCCTAAGCACGGGGATTAAACGCCGTCTAATTCCTGAATGAAAAAGTTAATAACTGACTTTGGTCCGACCCGGGATTCTTATCCGGGACCTCATGACCAGCAATCAAGTTTACAATCACTATACCAACGAGCAGTCAATACTGTGAGAAGTATCTATTAATAGATCAACTTTATAATTAAGGACGAAAATAACAATTTTGTTACTTGTAAATATGTACACCATTGGCTTCTACTGTGTTCAACTGTAGATCAACACGACCGTGTACAGACCATAACATTTCCGTCACAGCCTATCGACAGTTCACTACTGAAAATAGGCCTTCCATATAGATTGTCTTATTAGAAGGATATTTGCCATAGTTGCCACGCTTGGCAAGAGGGTTGGCAACCGTGGTGTTTCATATTTAGTTGTTATTAGGTAGACGCTGCTGCCCATCTCCTGGTATGTTTCCATATGCCGCCGCTTATGACACCTCAAAGATGATATGTGTAGTGGATACTCTATATGGATTATAATATCCTCTGGGAATTAAGTGATTGATACCAAGCTATTTATAATTCGTTTTGTGTAGTTAATTGTCTAACACACAGATTTTAGGAGGTAATCTGTGGTCTAACATAATATTATAAGATTGTAAGCTGTTCTTTTTTCAAAAATATCATAAAATAAATTAATAAGTATTTTTCAAATCTGCGGTAAGTTAAATATATGAATCGCTATCAATAAGTATTATTAATAATCTATATTAATTTTTTATAGGATAGGGTGACAAACGAGCACACAGTCCACCTGATGGTAAGTGGTTGCTGTGGTCCATAGACATTTATCTCCGATTATGAATCAAAACGCAGATGCTTTGTCACCCGTAAGGAGTAAGATGGAATGCCTCGAATCCGGTAAAAAGGGTCTTCGGTTCTCTACACTCACCATACAAAACATAGCAGCATTAAGCTACCATTTTACGCTGGTATTCAGTGAAAGCGTGGTCCTTCCCCTGTCAGCCGAACCATTTGTGCTACAACTATACTACTAATATAACTGCAGCATAGCTCTACCACGTATTATACTAATTGTTGTGTTGTTAATTAATTGTTCTATTACATAAAAGGTAATATTTTGACACCGTCATTTCAATAAAACTATTATTAAGAAAATATTTTTTTTTAGCCATGATGTTTTATATAGTATTAGCAATCAATAAGTATTATTAATAATCTCTATTAATTTCTTTTATAGGATAAGGGTGAACACTCGTTGTTCGTGACACACAGTCCACCTGATGGTAAGTGGTTTCTGTGGCCCATAGACATCCAAATCTATCTTCGATTACGAATCAAAATGCAGATACGTTGTCACCCGTGAGGACTAAAATGGAATGCCTTGTTTCCAATATAAAGGGGTCTCCAGTTCTCTACACTCACCATACGAAACACAGCAGCATTAAGCTACTATTTGACGCTGGTGTTCTGTGAGATCGTGGTCCTCCCCGGTCGAGCCGACCCATTCGTGCTACAACTATACTTCTAATATAACTGCAGCATGGCTCTACCACGTATACTCTACTTAGTAACATTCGTGACATAATTAAACCTCGAAGAGTGACTGAATATTAAATCATCACAGAGCTATATCTTAAAGGCATAATGTCGTAAGTTATTGCAAAAGGCACACGGCTGACAAAATGTAATATATCTCAAGGCAATATATGAAGAGGGTATTGCGTGGGGTGGCAGATGCTCGTACAAGATTTTTTTGTGTTACTATTCTTAAATAATAAGACAATTTATTTTCAACCACTTGTTCACAATCACTTGTTTATTTCATTTATTTGTAATCATACACAACAGTTTAGTATATAATTAAAGGTATTGCACACCATTATCATGGTAAAACGTAAGTTTTCCATGATAACTAATAAGGTTGCAAAGAATTGATTTTTAAGCACTTAACTAAGTTATCTAATTGCACTCTCCGATTTCCCTGGCGTTACCGATATTCATGGGGGACAGTGATCACTTGCCGTCACGTGAGCCGTTTGCTCGTTTCCCCCCTCTTCCGTAAAGAAAGCTTTTAACACAGGAGACTACGGATGCGATGTAAACTCTGAGGGTTAAGGTGGAATGCTTATCATGATACTTCCTTTTAATATTTTTCTGTCCGTAACTGACCGACTGACAGGAGTGTAGTATCTATCCTCATGTCGAAATTTGGGCGGTGATGTAGTCCCTTTAGCGGTGCGAAGTTAACTGTCAGTATATCGAAGTGCTGAAGTCTTTGTTCAGTAAGGCTACGATGGCTATCCGAGTACAAAACCAGAGTACGAAACCTGTCCAACTGCAAAGATGTGTAAGACACGGTGAGGTAATAACCCCGAACCTCATCACCGCTGCATTTGAAGATGTTTTCAAGCTACTAGACCGTTTATCACTGACTGACAGTATATCACTCACCTTCGGCTTGCCGACGATATAGTCCTGATGGCAGAATCGCTGGAGGATCTAAGCACTATGCTCTATGACCTCAATAGTGTGTCCCAAAGGATAGGTCTTAAGATGAACATGGACTAAACAAAAGTCATGTGTAATGTTCATTTCACACCTATGGCTGTGGTTGTTGGGAGCACTAAGCTCGAAGTTGTTGACTCGTATGTTTAACCTGGCATAAGTAGTCCGACTAGGTAAGTCCAACTTCGACCGAGAGTTCAATCGACGGATTCAACTCGGTTGGGTAGTGTGTGGGAGATTACGACACATCTTCTCGTTAGGCATACCTTAAAACCTCAAAACTAGATTGTAAAACCAGTGCGTGTTGCCAGTAAAAACCTATGGATCTGAGAAAGTTTTTTATTTTATTATTTTGGATCTGAGATGTGTTATTTCACTGCTGGCCGTATGAAGAAGCTCAGAGTCGCTCATCGAGCTATTGCTAGGGCTATGTACGGAGTTTATTTGCGAAATAAACATAAGAATGAGCATACCCGCAGTAAAACCAGAACAAGAAACAGCCCAACGTATTAATAAGCTGAAGTGGCAATGGGCCGGCCATATAGCTCGAAGAACCGATAACCGATGGGAAGAAAAGGTTCCCGAGTGGCAGCCTCGTATCGAAAGGCGTAGTGAAGGGTGTCCCCCCACTAGATGGAGTGGCGACCTGGTAAGACATGCAGAAAATAGATGGATGCAGGTTTCTCAGGACCGTGCGTTGTGGCATTACTTGGGGAAGGTCAATGTTCAGCAGCGTACTTGTGAGGGCCTGTAATGATGATGATCGTCTGGATAGATACCACTATCTATCCAGACAAACCTTCTTGGGCGGAAAATTAGTCCTTAAATGTAATAGATGGATTGTACGTACGTTTGCTTGTACTTACTGCTGTAAAAATGTAAAATTAGAATTTTTATAGAATAAGAGTGACAGAAGAGCACACAGTCCACCTGACGGTGAGTGGATGCTGTGGTCCATAGACATCTACATCCATTCTCAATTAAAAGTCAAAATGCAGAATGCGTTGACAGCC